GGGGGGGGGGGGGGTATTTTAAAGTTTTAATAAACCCGAAAAAAAAAATTTATTAAATCAAACTTAATTGAAAGTAATTACACATTCAAAAATTTAAATAAATTCGTGCAAATTCTCTCGATTAATCATTGCAAATGAACATAGTAATTTGTCTTGATATTTTACGTTCACGTATTGAAATGCAGTGAACGTGAAAGTTCTGACCCAATGTTCCCTCGTCTCCCAGGAAATAATTAACCAATTAATTAGAAATAGCAATTCTACGAATGTTCATACGAATCTTATGTCTAATAAAATACGAATAAAAGTATCCTTACTTTTCACTTATAAGATGTAATTACCAAAAATGTTTATACTATAAAAAATGATAAAATCTTAAAATCATGTTTCTTCTTATCTATTAAGTGCAGATATTAATCTTCAGTTATAGTTTATAAAGACAGATACTATGTATCTTTCTCTTGGAGAATTGAATCTCTCTTTCTTTCTAGAGCGTTTAATGCAAACTCTAACAAATTTCAAGTATGATTTTTTTTTTGCTTTTACTACTTAAACTATTTAAACAGAATCAACAGACTATCATAATAAGGAAAATTCTAAGGTTGTTGTAAAGTTCGTTAAATAATTCATTATTTTGTGATAAAATTATTCCACAATGCACGAGAAGAATGCGTGAATTACTGCTATCCTTACCGAATAAATCTCTAATACTCTCACTTTTTATTTGTACGAGGTGGTCACACCAGTTTGACAATGAGTAATAATTATACAGGAAAAAGGAAGCTCGGCATTCCGCAACTCGCGACCGTGCGACTTTCCTTAATGAGCTCCAACAAACCGGAACCGCGAGAAATAATCTGATTTGTTTGCTATAAAATTGATGACTTGAAAAATCATTATCAATTAGATTGATCATCTTCAAAAACATTAGAATTTCCATGAATATTATACATGACATTGTTCGTCACAAAATTATTACTACAGAAATTTTATAATTGTAGCAACACATGCAAATAAGTAGTAATTTAACCATTTCCTCGAATCCAAGAGTGTCATGACTCTACTTGAAACACCCACATAAAAAGAGATAATGAAAAAAATGTAATTAATAAAACACCAGAGAACGATCGACAGAACTCGTTCCACTACTGCAATGGAAAGTCATTGAAGAAAGCTTGTCTAGCAACTATTAGGATCTAAGTGCCAAGGTTCCTTACATCCTGTAATCACTTCCTTGATTTTGGAACGGATAAACACGCGTAATTTCGCGGATTAAATGAATTTTTAACATGAATTTTCAACAATTTATAATCAATATGATAGAATAAACATTGCCAATGTTATATTTTTATTTAAAGAAAAAAAAAATTTTTTTTAAAAATGGAAATTAAACCTTCTAATTCAAACAGATCGTTTGAAATCATTCAGTTCGTCTACAAATCGGGCAAAGTCGAAAGAGAAAAAAGAAGAAAGTGTTTTTGCTTTCAATTTGCAACAATTATACGACACGTATATAGAGACATTCTTATTCTACATGCATGTCGTCATCTCAAACCAGGGACAATGCCATTGCCATAGTGAAACAGTGAAAGTATGGTCATTTTATTTCTGTCGTGCTTTTGCTCTTTTCTACCAGTACCCTCGATCTTGACACACGTAGGACATGAATACATGACATTTTCTATCGCGATCGGTGTTCCTCAGTTTCATATGTTCGATTAACGTGAAATCAGAGATCTTTTCTTGTTGTGATATAACTTTAATTTGTATTTGCTCGTTTTCTTCCTCTCTCTACTAATAGTAGGGAAATTATTATATCATTGTATGTAATTCTAATTTATAACCCAAAATAATATTGTATATTTAAAACTTCAGAATGCTACCGTATCTCGTTCGCATTTCATTCAATTTATCAAATGCGTTTCAGCGCTTTACGAGATGTATTGGTAATTCTTTGGTTCACGTCAATTGTTCACGTAAAGTCAGCAATAATGCCTCCACCATGGGCAGATCCGTCAAGCAATCCCTGCGCTGCTCAACCACGTGGCTGGCAATTGTTATTTTGGCCGCCGGATGGAAAGTGTTACAAAATATTCCAGGCAGGTGCTGCATTTCTCTTTATAAAATCATTGGATATTGTACGTCAAAAAACCAGCTTCTCATACTTTTCTCTTTTTCTTTCTTTCACTCAACTGAATATTAAATATAATCTAATAATGGATTTGTTTAACAGATTGGGGCTCCATGTCCAGAAACAATGGAACTTGGTCCAGCTGCAGGTAGAGGTGGGACTGTAGCTGAATGCAGATGTCCTCCAGGAACCGCACAATCTCCTAGAGATGCTCTTTGTCACAAGATTTATACAAGAGCATCCTGTTCGAAAGGACAATTCTTTGCACCTGTACCAAAGACTTCTGGAAAGTCTAGGTATTACAACAAATCTAACAGATCTTCGTTTAAGAATTATTTAATGCACCATAACTAAAACAAAAAAGTGTCCCTCTAAATTTATATCATTTCTAAATAAAGATGGGGAGTTTGTCATGATCCAGAACAATGTACAGAGAAAGGAGAAATTTATTGGCCTAGGGATGGCAAATGTTATCCCAAATTTAGCAAAGGACCATGTCCAAAAGGTGAACTCCTCACTGCAGATGAAGATGGATTAGCGATATGTTCTTGTTCTACAAATGGAGAACTTGGACGATATCATTGGGCAGGTAGTGTAGGTGGCTGTCACGAACATTACACTAAAGGACCATGTACAGAACTTGGAGAATTATTTTTACCGGGTGGTATATGTGGTTGTCATTCTAAATTACCTCATTATCATGAACCAACTGGAATGTGTTATCAGTTAGGTAAGAACTCAGAATATAAACGATAGAAAAAAATCTTCTAATCCATCTTCTATTCATTTATTGACAGGTGGTATTGGCCCATGTTTACAAGGGCATCATTTTATTGTAACAAATACAATAATCAATGACGAAATAATTCGTGCTAAGTGCGTATGCAAGCTAGGTCATGTTCTCTATGAAAATGGATTCTGTTACAGACTTTATACAAAAGGGCCATGTGAAAATGGTTATATGTTAATAAATTCAACGACTTGTATTCCTGTACCTTGCAAACGAGGACGGCTATATTTTTCACAAGAAAAAACGTGTTACAAAATAGGAACCAGAGGACCATGTCCTAACGGACAAGTTGTTTTATATGATTATAACATACGACCATCCGTTGATGGAATTAGCTATAATGGAGTATGTGGATGTAAAAACGTATTGACGAACTCGGAAAAATGTTCAGAAGAAGTTAATGATAGCTGTGAATCAACACCGGGCATGGTAGAAATAAATAAAACCTGTTATAAATTATATACGCAAGGCCCATGTACTGCAGGAGAATGGTTAGTTGCAAAAAGAATGCCAAAACAGAGCTTATGGAAGAACGAAGAATCAGAAATAAGAGCAAGGTGCGAATGCAGACCCGGATACAAACGAATTACGGAAAATTCGCAAATTACTGAATTAGAAAGTAATAGTCTTCTTTCTCCGGGTGGTTGTCAGCCACCCACAGTAAGTTTAGCAAAGTTTCTCAATGAAAAAGTGAAATCGATAAACTTCTAAATATAGAAATCGGACTATGTATAATAGATGGTGATAAACTAAACTATTTACTATATATATTTTTTAGATATTCTGTGTAAATAATGATGTACAAATTTTCATAAAATGTTCCCAAGAAATGTTCTCGTGCAAATTTCTCAAATTTCTATTTATTTAATGTATTAGCGCTATGAAATTTTTATGTTAGGTTTATGCTATTTTAAATTCTATTGTTAGATATGTTATTAGTTTAATTCAACTATTTAATATTTCTCTATTATAAATATATTATAAATATATATGAAAATATTTTTATCAAATTTAATATTTAAACATCACTTTCACTGCCAATGTTTTGTAAATATATACAATTTATAGTGCTATATAATGTAATAATTAGGTTTTTGAAAAACTAACTTTCTAGAATGTATTAATTTTATAAATATATACTTATAAAATTACTTATATATTACTTACTCATTTTTGTGTTGTAGGTCACGAATCTGTTGCTCCCTTCCTATTAGTTGTTGTTCTTTCATTATAATTTCTTTTTCTAGAGTAGCTATTCTTTCTGTCTTCTCGTCCAATACCATCTAAGATAAATGATTCATTAATCTAAGTATATTATTAATTATTTTGTAACATAATTATATGTATTACTTATTTACCAATAATTGATCCTTTTCATGATCCAGATGCGTCATATTTGCTTTAAGATTAGTAATTTCTTGTTGTAATTCTTCTATTTGATTTTCAAGCTGTAACTGCTGCCGCTCCACCGTCCGATTATGATCCAATGCTTTATTTAATTCTGATTCTGAGTGTGTTAATTGATTCTGAGCATCTGTCAAAGCCTGATCAGTTTGATCTTGTAGAGCTCTAATATGTTTATTAATTATACATATATTAATAATACGTCATAAAGAAATATTGTATTGCATTTTTTATAAAAATTTTTAAAATGAAAAATAAGTAATACCGAAGTTGAAAATATTGTGTCCGTTGAGTTCCTAATTCTTGTTTAGTTCGTCTTAATTCTTCTTGCAAATCTTGTAATTGATCTTCAAGTCCATTTATGGTAGCTCTTCGTGCTCCTTGTTTATGTAAAAGTTCTTGCCGTTCCTTTTCTATTTGTTTTAATCGTGTTTCAACATCGGTCAAATTTTCTCTTAAACGACGTTGTTCAGATGTATGTGCTTCCGCTGCTATCTGATTTATAAATTGTCATATACATACATTCATATGACACCAATATCAATAATTAAATTTAACGAATTACCTTCAATCTTTCGCGTAATGCATCACGTTCTTCAATTAAACGACCAACATCAGCACGTGCAATATCCCGTTCATGTTCCAGACGTTCAATAATATTCTAAAAAATATTACTCTTATAAATTTAATTACAAATTCTTAAAAACATTTTATAGAAAAGAGATACTGTGACTATAAAGCTTTTCTCTAATAAATTGCAATTTTATCAAAAAACAATAAAATAAAAAATAATTTGTAATTTTTACCTTCATTTTGCCTAGATCTTTCGTAACTGGAGGAGAACAATTACATGCAACACCACGTTTGCATAGATTGCAAGGTCGACAAGGTATTTTATGTTCAGTTTTATAAGTTTGTAAACGTGTTTCTAAATTAGTTTTTTCACGATATAATTCCTTCTTTTCTCGCTGTAATTCATCTAGTGCATTTTCTTTTTCATTTAATTGACATTTTAATTCTCGAATTCGTGACCATAGATCAACCTATTTTTAAAAGTAAGGATAATTATTTGGAACTTCTGTATTTTCTAAATTAATAAATGAGTAATAATAAATTAAAGAAAACTATGAGTAAAAACGGATGACACTTTACGTGGTCTTTTTCGATCACTTTATTATAGTTATCCATAATATTTGTATATTCATTTTTGTAGAAATTTCGCTCTCTCCTTAATTGTTCAATAGCTTGTTGTAACTGACAAAATAAATGCTGGTTAATATATTTACATCATTACAAAACAAGTATGTAAAAGAAATATTTTTTATGAAACATACATCATTTATTTCAATTTCTTTCTCACATTCGGCATTATTTATTCCTTGAAGAAAGTCTTTTTCTTTATATGGTTCCTGAAATTCTATTCTATTCTCCCCTAATAATTTTAAATAGATTTATGAATCTTTAAACGTAAAATAACTCTTTCCTTTTTATTATATTTTATATCTTATAACTTTACCTTTATCATAACTATTCTGCCGTCTTTTTTCTTTAGCACCTTTTGTTCCATTATCATCTAACATTTTTCTATTCATTTCTTCTTTTAATAATTTATTATTATATTGTAATTGAATAATATCTTGTCTTTGTTTTTCATTTTCCTTAATCAATCTTTCAATTTCATCATTTAAATTTTTTTCTATAATGTTATTAAAAAAAAATTACCTTAAAAATTATTTAATTACATTTATAGTAATCGTATAAAAGTAAATATTCTGTATACCAATTATTGTTAATTCATTTATTCTATCAGTCATCTGCTTTTTCTCATCTAATGTAGATTCCAAAGTACGTTCAATATTACGTTTCTCTAATTTACAAGTTTCTAAATCTGCTCTTAATTCTTGAACTTCTCTACGCTCAATAGTTAATTCACCTTCTAATACATGTACTCGTGCCATTACATTCTCTAATTTTTCCTGCATGAACATTCATAATAATAATTATAATAAATTGTAACTATAAATTACATGATTATTGTAAATATTAAAATATAATATTTGACAACTGCAATTACCTGCAATTTAGAAACTCTTCTATTGTTTTCTTTAACTGCAGAATTACAATCAGCTTCTACAGCTAATGCAATGTGATCTATATCTCTTAATTCCTTTTCTAATTCCTCATTGCGATCGGCAAGTTTCAGTGCTTGAGACATTGCATCATGCTGTTTATTTAAAGCTTCTGTATAGGATAAAATATATATTTTTAATTTATATATATCTTAATTAAAAGAAAATAAATTTTTTACCTTTTAATTGTTGCTCTAATTCTAATTTTTCTTGTTGAAGAACTTTTAATTCATTACTATCGAAATTAGATGTAACATAACTGCAGTCTGCTTTTTTACAAGCACAATCTTTAGAAACAGCCAAATATGGTCTACCTCCTTCTAACATCTTCTTTAATCGCAAAATTTCTTTTTCCTTAGTAGTCAGCTATAAATATATTTTTGCAATATATTTGTATCTGTCCTTTTGATCAATTTTTGCAAATTTAAATAAACATGCATATACTTAGTATCCATATATCCTCTGTTGTTAGTTGTAATTAATAGTAATTAAAACATTTAATACATTATATAAATTTTTTACATGCAAGTAGAAGCAATTTAAAATCATGCAGATGTAATCAATAGTATTATACCTGACTTTTTAATGTTTGTACATTGTCAGTTTGTAAAGAGAGTTCTCCCTTTAATTTTGTTACCTCATAACTCAAACAATTCATCTTATGATCAGCCATGCTTAACAAATCAACAATTTTTGGTTCCACTACACTTAAGTTTGGTAATGGAATGGATTTAGTTCCTATTTTTGGTAATGGTTCACTTTCTATAACGGGTCTTCGAAGTGGAAAAATAGGACGTTTCTTAGAAGCTATAACAATAAAAAATAACAATTTAAAGAAGAAAATATTATTTTCCAAGATATTATAAACATTTTGTAAAAAGATAATCTCAAACATGACAAAAAATAAAAAACAGATATAATTTACCTAGTCCAACATTACTGACAGTTGGTTTTAAACATTTTCCTTGGAGTTCCAAAATTCTTTTTGACTTTTTAGCAGATTCAACTTCAAGCTCCTTAATTCTATGTAAATTCCTAGAAGATGCCAATTGAAGATCATTACATTCACGTTCTAATTTATATACTTCCTTCTTGAGATCTTTAATTTGCTTTTGATGACATTCCTTTTCTTTTATCAAATCTAAGTGAAGCTGGTTACATTCTTGTACCAGCCTTGCATTATCACATTTATAAGGATCAATTGTTGATTGTAACTGAACGTGTGCCTATTGATACAATGTAAGTATTAAATTATATAAATATAACAACACAATTGAGTAATATAACTTATTTTTTTTATTATTCTAAAATATCTTTCACAATTCTCCAATTCATCATTATATCAATAGTATATTCATTGTTTTATACAAAGGGTGTTTTAAAAATACATATTTAATATAATTTTATATTGAAGGTAAAAGAAAAAGACTTTTAACTGCAAAAGCACAAACCTCAATGTTTTCTTGAGCAATACTTTTAAAATGCTTTAAGCTTTCTGTTGTTTGTATCAAATCAGCTAACAACTTCTCTATCAAAGGAAGTGAGTCTAATGTAAGTGCTTGTTTGTATCCTAAGCTGTCTAAATGCTTGCGGACAGTTCGATACCTTGCAGCTATATTACATTCATCTTCCAAGCTCATTTTTATAAATTTTATAAAAAGCTAATTTGTATTATTTCATATATATATTACTACTTATATTCCAATAACTAGAACTTCATATTTTTTAAAACGTAATTATATTTACAAATTTATTGCAGGAATCATTTTTCGGCATACAATTAATAAAAATAAAAATTCTTAAATAACTAATGTTAATATAACCAAAATATTAAAGTACAAGAATATCTCATCGTGCTTCACCAAATCTATAAATAAATCTCAAAATATTCAACTTTTGAAAAAACTACGACTTCTTTTATTATACACTTGCATTTTCTCCTACAAATTACACAAATAACATTATTTATTACTGTACTTTCTAGCGCGTCGCGTTAGGTATTAGGTGTTAAACATTATTCAAAAGTGTTACCAACATCATAGAATGCCATTCTCGTTTACAAATACTGTATTTCAATATATGCATGTACTTAATGAAGATATTGTAATTTATATAATTAATTATTTATTAAACAAAATAAAGAACTACTCATAATATATTCTAAAATATATTAGAATATTCAAGCTAGATAGTATAGAATATGACTTTATCTATATTTGAATATTTTATAAAATATAACTATTGACATTGACTAAAAATAGAATTGACATTGAAAAAAAATAGAATAGACCGGAAACAGGACTTTGTGTTTTTGACGGTCCAGTTTAGACCGTCGGTATTTCAAAATCTCAGACACGAATGTTCCGTTTCATGTCAGGTCTATTTTATTTTTAGTCAATGACATAACATAATCCAAATATGAATAAGATATTTTAAAAGAAATATATGACAAATTATATTTGTTATATTATATATTATTATTTAGTATATAACATTTAATTCTCCCATTTGGGAAAAATATATTTTAATAAAAAAAGGAAGAAAAGATATTGAAAAATGTGATGCAGATATAAACGTAAATCTGAGATGCGCGCGTCACTTGTTTATTCATGATTGAAAAAT